AAAATACCTAACAATAGTTTCAACACAAGAAAAATCATTGGACAATCTTTCCATCCTTTCAAACTCCAAAGCATGTACCCATCATATCGATTTATCATCGTAATATCTCGGGAACATTGTGCAAATTCATCCACATCCCTCTCACGTTCATGGTTCCTCCAAAAATGTGATATGTAGCAAAACGTAGAGGATATATAAGGCCTAATTCAAGCACCTCTAACTTTTTTAAAAATTAAGGAATTATATACCCTTTAGTCAAACTTTGTAAAACTTTTTTCATTTCAAATGCTAAATCGTCAGCAGTAATAGAAGTTCCATCATGTGATACACTAGAAGCACTAGGAGTTAAGGGCTTAGCCCTTTTGTTAAGGTTACCAGAGGGTAAAGCAATATATGGTGAAGCAGTAGAATTTGAAGCAACCACATATGGCAACTCATGAAAAGGCTCACTAACATGATGGGAAATGTCATCACAATCATTATTTATTACAAGAAAAGAGGTGCCCATAATATGAAGTGGTGGAACATGACAAAAAGATGCTCCAGCTACTGATGATGATTAGGTTGAGTAACTCCTAAAATCACCAATGACACTATTTCCATCAAAAAGACGTGCACAAAGTTCTGGAAAAGGTGATGGAATTGTTCTCAATGAAGCAGCCTTCAAATGCCCCTAAACCCAAATGTAACAAAAACTAGTATAAGAATATTTGGCAACTTCATACATAACTGTTTAATATATATATATATATATATATATATATATATATATATATATATATATATATATAATATACTCTCATTATTATGCAAATCTAGTCAAAGACTAAATTTTAAGAGGTACATGGCCAAATACAATATGTACAACCATTTAAAGCATTAAAGAAATACATAATACAATTTGGTCAAAATGAATCAGTCAAAATGTAACCAACATTTCCTCAATTTCAGCTAATTAAATTGGTTAGATCTGACGGGTTTTGGTCATAAGACATCCTATGTGCTCATACAAACCCTAATGCTTGGATCTAGGTTTCTCTATTGTACATGCTTTGAATCCAAGACTATAAACCCTAATTCTAGCATATGGAAATCGACATTAGCATATAATTAGGTTTAAGGTGTTACCTTGATTGTTATGTAGCAATAACAATCCCAATTCCTCCTTGAATTGACTTTGGAATGCTTAGAGTCACACGTGTCACTCCTCTAATGGTTCACAAACACCATAAGCAAGAGGATGAAGAGAAGAAAGGTTGGAGGCTGCCCAAAAACGTGTGAAACCCTAGAAAGATCATTAGCCACGTTTTTTAGCCTTAAGGGGTCTTTATATAGTTGGGCTATTAGGGTTATCTAACAACGAAACCGTAATTTGGATGCTTAAGCCCTAAGCAACTCATGAAGCCTTTTAATTAAGCCTTGGATGATTTCATATGGGCTTCCCCCATAGAATTCATCCACCCCTTAATATAAGCAATCCATGGCCCAAATTATAATTATCTTATAATTACAATTCTAGTCCCTTAAGTTTAATTAATCTCTTTTAGTCACAAAAAATTACCAATTAATTATTGACTAATATTAATTAAACAATATGATTTCTCCTTTAATATATTATTCTCATAATATATTAATAAATCATATTTAATCCTTTCTCTCCATAATTCATCCTATCAAGTTGCTTTGGTGAAGGCAACCCAAAAGGACCATGCACCATCGGGTCAAGTACATACCAAAATAGTTATGGACTTAGACACTAATCCAACAGTCTCCCACTTGGATAAGTCTAATAACTATTATGCGTATGACTTCAGATCCTGATCTGCAATCGTAGCTTTCCAAAGCCGCTGTCAACTCTGATCCTATCAGATACGCGTGTCCTTAGATAAGGGATCATATATTCCTCCATTCTAGATATCGTATGAGATATGATTTCAAATCATTCTCTTTGTACTACTTCTCGATTTCTGATTTATGACGACAGACTAATTGAACAAATCAAATTAGCCCTAGCCCGGCCGAGCATTTACGTTTGTCATCACTAAACCATCGAGGGGCCCAAAAGATATCGCTTTTATCCTACTTGGATAAAAGGAACGGATAAACTTTGATACAATGCTTGCTTGCACTCATAACCAAATCACACACAACAATATGTTTTATAACACCAAGTTACTAGTGCGTTTACATATTATCAATGTGCAACCGATTAGCAAGATACAACTCACACATCTCGGTTTCAAGAATATAAGATGTTATCGTCTCACTAATCTCGTGATACAATTCATGGAGTATCCAAGTGAGCGTGGGTTTAATCCAATGCTCAAATCATATTCATAAGCACTCATGAACGTTGCAGCAAACATTTGCTTATGTCTAATACTCTTTAGACAATCCACACACCAATTCATGACAGTCTTCATTCATATCTACTTCCAACATATGAATGACTTGGCCCGTTCGAATAATTCGATTATTCTTAATAAACTCAATTATTCTGG